GGAGTGTTTCTGTTTCGTTCGTCCTCCACTGCGTTAGCTACCCAAGTGGATCCTTCCCTTCTTCACAAACGTTTGGGACATCCATCCACTCAAGTTTTGTCATCTCTTATTCCTTCTGCTAGTAGCTCTAAACTTAAGTTGTTACAAACTTGTGAAATTTGTTTCCAATCTAAACAAGTTCGTAGTTCTTTTCCTCTCAGTTCCAATAAAGCAACAAGTGTTTTTGATTTGATTCATTGTGATTTATGGGGATCTTATACCCCGTGTTTGGCTACTGGTGCACACTACTTTCTTACCATAGTGGATGATCATGTTGTATCTTAGCTTAGGTTGTTTGAGGAAAAACAGTGGTTTTAATATGGAGTAGGAGTGATAGTCGATTATCCAAATAGATAATCGATTATTGAAGGGTTCAGTTTCTCAAAGGATTTGGCGGAGAGTTTCTGAAGGGGATGATAGTCGATTTACACATATATGTAAATCGATTTTTGATGACTGCAGATTTTTCTCGTGAGTTGATAATCGATTTCCCAAGCGGGTAATCGATTATTGGGCAGTTTCAGGGAAAAAGAAAAGGAGGTGTTTAAGTAACGGGGATAAACCAAGGAGGTCTAAGAGATATAACACACTCTTATCCTTTCTTGGGGTTGAAATCTAGACTTCAATTAAGATATGACACACTAAATGAAATACTAGAACCTAACACTCACACTTAAGGAAACCAACCTTAAGATATAGGAAATTAGGGATTTTGAAAACAACACAACAAGTTGTATTATCTTGAAAATGAGATTGCAAAAGATGCCTTACAATGAGGCCCTTGGCCGAAATAAATACAAGCAAGAAAAAGGGAAATTCCAGGCAACTTCCTTACACAAATATCCAGATTAATACCCAATTGATCACATTATTTTATGGAATGAAAATCAAGGATGAGGGGGAATTTGGCTTTGATGTTTTCGGCCATATTGAGAGACAAAGGGGTGTGTGGGAATATTGTGATTTGAAGATCATTTTGATGAGGTTTTAATGTGATGGTTTCGGCCATATTAGGGAGACAAAGGGGTGGTTTGATGGGAGGATCATTTGGTTGATTGTGTGATGAAATATATGGTAGGTGAGGGGTTACATTCGGCCATCAAAGAGGAAAAATCAGGGATGTGAATATTTTGTGTTGTTTGGCTTTTAATGTATAGAATATATTCTGGGCAAGCTTATCACACAACACACATGCTCTTTGGCCTATTCTTGAGTGTGCATTCAGTTTTACTAGGGGACAAGTGGTCCCTAATGTTGGCTGGTCTTCAAACAGTAAAATGGTTGTTTTTTTTGGTTCTTGTATTCGGCCAGGCTTCAAGGAAAAGAGGGGGGGAAAAAGTTAAATAATAGAAGGGAGATATCATGAATGTTGAAAATGGTGTAGGGAAACATGGTGGATGTGGGGGGGTTCGGCCAAACAAGGGAAAGAAAGGGAAAAGGTTAGGGCTTTGGAATTCATGGGCTTAAACATATCAAGGTTGGGTTGTATGGTTTTGGGGTGAGAAATTCATTCCAAAAAGGATTGTGACATTTGGACATTAATCCATTTATTTGTTTAAGTTCTTGAGAATTAGTTGACGTTACTGGGGATACAACAGATCACTCTCCGTGTTGTTTGGGCTTATTTGATTATTGATAAATCGGAAGTGTCTAGCTGTTTGAAACATTTCTTTGCCATGATTAAGACCCAATTCCATAAAACAATTAAAATTGTCCGTTCTGATAATGGCACAGAATTTGTCAATCACGACCTCCGGTCTTATTACACAACTTTGGGTGTCGTTGTTCAAACCTCTTGTGTTGGTACTCCTCAACAAAACGGTCGAGTGGAACGTAAACATAGACATATTTTAAATGTTGCCCGATCTCTTATGTTTCAAGCCCAGTTACCTATTGAATTTTGGGGGGAATGTGTACGTACTGCAGTATATTTGATTAATCGTACCCCCAACAAAATACTTGGTGGCAAGTCCCCTTTTGAAGTCCTTAACCATAAAGCCCCTGATCTTAGTCATCTCAAAATTTTCGGGTGTTTATGTTTTGTTCGCAT